GCCATCACAACAGCTATCATAGCACCAGCTTCAACACATCAGAGCCATCACGCTCCGGAACATCACAGATGCGGCGGGTTACCACATCCGCGGGCAGTTCACTGTATTTTATCGTTGCCGGCAAACTCGCCGCGCGGTTCTTTTATTTTTGCCGTCTACAACTGCGCCGGGCGCACCAAGCTACTCAACAGCACCAAGCTACTCAACACCCCCTCCTCACGGCTGACGATGGATACCGCCCCCCTCGCTAGCTGATGATGGACACCACCCCCCCCTCTAGCGAATGATGATTGATACTACCCCCCTCTCTAGCTTGTGACGATGTATAGCACCCCCTCCCCACCNTTTTGTGCAACCACCACAAAAAACTATTCCACCTCCCGATCTAGTAGGGCTTTAACTTGAAGCGGTTAGGCTGGCAGTCGTCTTGGAAGAACTCTTCTTCGTCTTTGGTATCTCTGAGCCCCATCGTTGCCTCTAGGACCCACATCACCATATTGTCCAGGCGTTCACAAGCCCCTCTCACTGGCTTAGATGTTCTTATCAACTGACTCCCTGGTCAGGCAATGATGGGTGCTAGATGAGAGTGAGCACAAGGGGCGAAGGCGCGCTTTTGTCTCAGCTCCACAAAAACAAAAAACAAGCAGCAAACACAGCAGGTTCCGAGGGTCTCCGGGGTATGGGCCCGAGTACCGGAACTTCGGCGTTCGGAACAATAAAACAACTGCAGTCTCGCCGGCCCAATTATCTCCGCTACAACTCTGTGCTCATGTTCTCTGCTAAGTACCATCTCTTCTTTCTGTATTATGTCCACGGAAGGCTAGTTGCCGCAGTCGCACCTATGGTAGACTGTCTGACTACGTTGTAGCAGTTTTCCTCGACAATTTTACCGTTGCATTGCAAGTANAGGCAATGATGGGTGCTAGATGAGAGTGAGCACAAGGGGCGAAGGCGCGCTTTTGTCTCAGCTCCACAAAAACAAAAAACAAGCAGCAAACACAGCAGGTTCCGAGGGTCTCCGGGGTATGGGCCCGAGTACCGGAACTTCGGCGTTCGGAACAATAAAACAACTGCAGTCTCGCCGGCCCAATTATCTCCGCTACAACTCTGTGCTCATGTTCTCTGCTAAGTACCATCTCTTCTTTCTGTATTATGTCCACGGAAGGCTAGTTGCCGCAGTCGCACCTATGGTAGACTGTCTGACTACGTTGTAGCAGTTTTCCTCGACAATTTTACCGTTGCATTGCAAGTATTATTATTACGGTTGTTTCCAGAGCAGCTCTTGTTTCCCTTCATTTTTTCTTTCCATCCGCCGTCGGGTTGTGATCTGTCAATACTCTCAGCCAGCAGCTGGTCTCATGAAACCCGCGAAAAAACAAATCATCTTCAGACAGGCCACGCCGAAAATACTCGTCGTTTTGGTATCACAGCAGTAGTCAGTCTATGTATGGAGATGGTGTCCACGAAGGCACCACTCCTATCACCCACCTCTCCTAAACTATGTAGCACGGCGGAGACACCTCGGCCACGCTTGACACGTCCTCGCCACGTATCAATAGACAATATATATATATTTTTTTTTTGCCTTCCGACAATTGCAGATGTACCTCAGAAAACTTTCACTTAATGTCCCATACTCTACATGAATATTAAACCAATACGAAGTACAACAACATATGTAGGACTTATTTCTACTGTCATTTACATCGTAAAAATATCTCCTCTTCAACTTGAAATAAAACCAATGACAATCCTCATGGTATCCTATATGCGTTCGTAAGCTTGCTAAAATACTACTGCGTTGATGTCCGCTTGTAAAAGCTGAAATCCAACAAATGCTTTGATCCATGCTACATCTCCGTGTTGGAAAAGCCCTTTCATCTCCGTTCATGATAACATCTTACCCTATTCTACGCAAATCTGTCACATCTACTCTCAAACAAGACGCCAACTTCAAACGAAAACGCGTTCTACGATGCGTCTACACTCCATCCCCATATCATTGGCGTTGACTGGTCCGAGGTCGATCTTGTTCGCCTGTTTTCGGCGTCTTGACGCCCGCGCAATGCGAGCTTGTACCTCTGCACTCGCCGAGATATGACATATATAGAGAGTTTCGGAACAAAAGTTATTTTTAAGCAGCAACTACTCGATTTTGGTGCAACGAACGTTCTCGGAATTTTATTTTGTGGAGCCCACGGAGTTGAATGTGGCAAGAAAACGCGCCGGCGCGGAAAGGCTGCAGAAAAAAAAAAGGACATCAGCTGCTGTGCTGCATGGAAACATCACATCACACATCGGTCGTGTATGCCGGGTTTTGAGACCACGGGCTCCCAATTTTTTTTTTAGAGCTAGTGTGAGAAACAACAACAACAACATCATCGGCAGGCGCGGCGGTGTGCAGGTTGATGAGGATGACACAGACCACGCATGCAGGTAGTTGAGGGGCTGAACCACCAGTCAGTACCATCTGTGAGGAGGAGGGTGTTCAAGGAGCCTCACTTCTCGTTTTTGTTACGGTGTGCGAACGAGAGACAGCCTTTCCACAAGAAGGGAGAGAAAGGGAGCATCCTCAGCAGCAAACAAGAAGAGAGTAGACGCACACACACACTACACCCCGTTTGTATGTAGTTAAGCACATCGCCGAGCCAAGTCTTTATACTGTAACGACAAGTCTGATCTTCCTCGTTTCCCCCTGAACAACATATTGGTGAAATCGAGAGCGAAGCATGAAATCGAGAGCGAGAGCCAAAAAAAATAAAATTCGGGTCCAGACGCCTCTTGCCTTTTATTGGGAAGTAGGGGGCGGGCGCTTCCAAGAAGCGGCGCAAATTGAAGGTCTCATCAGCAGCGTCATGACCATATGCGTGTCATCGTCATCGGATGCTGCAGCTAGGAGCTAGACAAGTTGCTAGATTTCGCCAGATTGGCTATTCTTGCCTCAAACTGTTGCAGGGTTGTATGGCCTCGGGCGGTGGGCTCTGCTGTAGCTTCTGCTCGCCGCTGTAGCTCCACATCGAGAGACTCCCACAGGATGACCAGGGTATCTGCTTGTAGCTACGGGGTAGCCCTTCAATTCAAGCTACACAGCAAGCTCCACCTCTCAGCAGTAGTCCAGCTGCAGCGCATCGCGCAATCTCGCTCTCAATCAGATGCTTCGCTCTCAATTTCACCAATATGTTGCTCCCTGTTGCTTCTTCTCTCGCCCAACAACAACCCAGCAGCAGCAACAACAAAACAGACAGATGAACACAGCACGCACGCACTCGCGCGCAGATCAATCAACCCCCAGATAGGTGTAGTAGGTCTGACCTTCGTTGGCAGCGATCGAGTCCACAACAGCACCTTCCGTGGTGCCTGGAGTTCCAGGCTTTCCCACCACTACTACTATACACTGCTGCTGTGTGTGGTGGTGGGTCTCTTTGCTCCTCCTAAATCTGAAATCTACATCGTCTCCTGAAAGCGATATCGATTTAGAAAAAGCGGCGCCGGACCACTATTTTTCTAAATCTGAAAGCCCGTTTCCAGATTTAGGAGCTCGATGTTCCTCCGTTTTGGGGAACGTTCCCAGAGCTGGACCCGTCCATCTAAATCGAAGAATTCCACCTAAATCGAAAAGTGTCGAGCCGTGTTCCGAAACTCCCCGACATAAACTATTCAACTCCTCCCTTGGTGAGTGGTTACTCTAAGGGGGCAGGGTAACTCTCGTTGGCTTCGATGAAGACTGACAACCCTGAGGGTAAAACCGGGTAACTGAAAAGAAAGGCAGATAATGCTGAAAGCTACCGCGAACCGACAGGGATACACTCTCCCGATATGACGGCTCGGACGATGGGTTCACCCACACTCAAGCCGAGACCTTTGACAACAAACGTCATCAAAATGTCAAAAACGACAATATTTTGCTCGTGAACGATAGGAAACATGAGGACAAACACCGACACATGACGTAGGATCCAGAACAATCTATCATCACGTATGCATCTGTATGTATGCATAGAATTCATGAGACTCGCTTAATATGTGCGGGTCCCGCCGTCGTAAAGTGTAGCGCGTGTTCTATACCACAGCAGCGATGAGGAGAGGGGGATGTAATCGTATTCATGACCTGTGTCATACAACTACTGCCGTAGAGCAGTCTCCTCGTTCATTCGGTATCGAATGAGCGCCAAAAACCATGCGTGAGACATCTGAACGAGGGCATCTGAACGAGGGGTGTACCATGCGTGAGACATCTGACCCTGAACGATGGGCGTACCGTGAGTGAGACATCTTTCCTGGAGGTCATCGAACGGCATCGATCGCAGCACGTGTTTGCTTTTGTATGGATTAGTTCAGTTCGGGCCGAACCTCAGAGCAACACGGTCATTGGTTAAGCGGGGCTTGGCTTTCGAACGTCCATGCAGCGACCTTGCTTGACGTTTGTTTTTGCTGGGTGCTTACGCGGAAGGCAAACGTCCATGTCCCCAACCGAAAGTCTATGCGAAAGGCAAACGTCTCACATGTCCCGGGTGTCACCGGACCACGAGTGAAGAGTTGCGAGCCGTTGACCGGGGGTTGTTTGACGATGGGGGGGAGACGACGGCGCGACAATATCGCAAGCTTTCGAGCCGATTGGTGTTTCCCCTTGAATGACACATCCTGCTCGAGACGCATCACCGCACTCCTTTGATTCACGACAAATGCCTTCAAGACTCGCTATTTGAGCTGCCAGGACAAGGAGTGGGACGCGATTCCTTGCCCACCCTCAGCACGAATACTTCGTTAGGTCATCCATCCATTTGCTGTGAAGCCTCCGTCCGTTGCAATGACCTGCGACGTGATGTAGCCGGCGCCTTTCATGCAGAGGAACGCTACCATGCCGCTCACTTCGTCCGCGTCCGCCCATCGCTTCATAGGGGTTCGTTGAGTAATCTCGTTCACCCTAGGGAGAGACACGGACAATCGTACGTGCGAGACTTTTCAGGATTAATTGCCGACAAGCAGTTGTGTGATCGTATGCACCCTGGGATGCCAAAATGAGACACCAATCACTATAGGTGAGAGGCTTTTCAGGAATAATTGTGGACAAGCAGGTGGCACCCAACATCAGAATCCCGAAATAAACGCAACTTGAGCGCTCCTCGATAGGGGTGATCATGTTGTTACTGGTGGGTTTTCCACTTTCCACTTGAAGTACTGTAGGTTCGTTTTTCGCCATGTTTAGAGTGCATGTGCCTTGTGTGTTTCGTTTTGAGCTTGTAACCACTTTCTTGGGGTAAAAATTTTCTCCATCTAGGAGAGTACTGCGAAGGATAGTGGACAGACTTCAGAACGGATATTCAACGTGAACAAAAACGAAAAACAAAGAACAAACAGCGTCGACAACTACCAGCAGCGGTAGCAGCACACGTAGTATGCGAAAGAATGGCGAAACCAATTATGGGGTGAGGCCTCCGCGACAAACTAACATATTTGTAAGAGTGCCGGGGCATAACCATCAAGTACATCACCCCTTTAGTCAGGAAACTCCCAGCGTACCTCACGGGGTCCGCCTGTACCGGTTCCGTAAGCGGTGTTTTTGTGTACCACGGAGCGACGGCGTTAACTCGGATCCCGTCCGGAGCCCACTCACAGCCCCATATTCTAGTCACCTGATTCATGGCGGCCTTGCTTGCGGCGTACGGGGATCCTGCGAACAGGACAAGCGTTCGCGTGAGGGATGGGTACCAGCGGAATGCCTCACGTCTTCACCCGACGCTACATGACGGTTGAGTCCTACTCGCGGCATCAGCAACAAAACGTCTTCTACACGGCGTTGAAGGGTTGTTCTTCGGAAGGGGTCGAAAAACTACGCGGTAATTTCTCCCAAAGCGAGACCCGCTCATTTTTTTTGGCAGACACCAACGTTTTATGCAAACTTCTATTAATACGAACTTCCATCCTTTTCAAGCCGGTGCTCCAAGAATGTATGGTTATCGTTGACCGGAGAGAGAAGGCGCACGGTACCTGTACCCTGGCGTGCAGTACCTGACTTTATCGGCGTGATCCCAGCGACGCTAGAGATGTTAATGACGGACGACCCCCCGTTCTCCCTTGACCCCTTCACCGCTGCCGCAGCCTTGAGCAGGGGGTGCAGCAACTGCAAAAACACAGCGGAAACAAGAAGGGGAGGTAGGGCACGACCGCACTTACACGCGGGTATCCCCTTCGGGCGCTCATGTCTTCGGGGTTGATCCTGTGTGAGCCCTCGTGTTATAAAAAAGCGGCCTGCGCACGTTGCGCCCAGGCTATCGCGGGAAGTGCTCGATCTCCACTACTTGTTCTGGTGTGTACTACAGAACTTCGTATATCTGACCTAAACAAACTCGGATCTATTCTTCTGAAATTTAGCTTGTGTGGGGAGAGCTGATCACATCTCTCGCGTAGTATGCCCCACCACACTAGAAAAATGATGTCAGCGAAGAACTTGAGCCTCGACGTACCTCAGGCACAAAACAAAACACGAACTCATCAAACCTCGTCCCACCCCAACTACGTGAGTGACAGCATGAACCCAAGTTTGGTTTCCATGACTTTATCAGACTCGTGGAAAAGGAGGACAATTAATACGAGAAGACAAAAATGCGGTACAAATTAAAGTATGAGGAGACACAGACCCGTCCATACAGTACACGGCTAAACCAACCAAGGACAGTAATCCTACAGTATGTTTACGCGACTCTGTTTCAGCTCCAGAAGATCGGTGTTCAGCAAGGACGTCGCTAAGGTGCTGGACGCAGTGCTACCGCGTGCAGCGGTTTACCTTGGTGAGCAGGAACACAGAAGTGAAGTTTGTGTCCATGACGTAGGCTGACTCTTCCGGGGTATAGTCGACTGTCGCCTTGCGAATGTTGGTGCCGACGTTGTTCACCAGGATGTCCAGCAGTCCCCCGAAGTGTTCTTCTGCCTGTATAGACAAGAGGTGATTGGGGGCACGAGCGAAGGAACTGAAAAGAGAGATTCTGACCCTGACCCACAATGTAGAACCGAACGTGTAGGGCACAAGACACCAAGAGATAGAGAGCGAGGAACCCCTCTCCAGCCAAAAACAATGATCATGACAGAGTCTGTCAACGACAACAATGGTATCCCAATTCTCACCACACGATGGCCACTACGCATTGCATTCTGACGCGTTCCAGCACGGCCATGGTGGACTTGCTTCTCCCTCACAACAAGAGTCTCCAGGGCTGCCACGTCCTACGAGTGCTTGCGCCAGAGTAACAGCGTTAATCGGACGGAGACAGCAAGTGACTCACCAGTTCGACCAACGACTCCCGCCCCTCAGCTGTTGTAACGTCCGCTGCTGTGCCTTCCACGAGCAGGCCCTTGCTTTTCCATTCCTGGCACACGACAATAACGACGGCACAGCATCGACAGATGATGTTGAACACCATGCACATGCCGCACGAGTCAGTTCTGGTATAGTCCATCCATGCACATGCCACACGAGTCACTTCTGGTTTAGTTCATCCTTGTTCCGTGTACATACGTGAATCAGTCGAGCTACGAGCTCCCCCCCCCCTCACAGAGGTCGTACCTTATGGCAAATGCCAACTTCGCGGTGACGAGGAGGTGTCGACTCCAGGTAATGAGGACGCTCGGGTAAGATTGACATAGTACAAAGAGCATCGATTCTACGAAAATAGTTCGCAAGCAAAGCGCTTCGATTCTGCGAAGATTGCTCAAGAAATGAGCTTCGATTCCTGCGAACCGTGTTCGCGGGAACTGCGGTTTTGGCATACTGTAGTTTGTATGCATGTACCCCCCTTTAAGTTGGTACCGGTACACAATACACACTCTTGCCAAACCAGCACATGTAAGCAGCACTGACTTACCTCGAGGCAGGCCGCCACATCCGCGGGGTTTCTGGAGCATGTGATGACCTTAGCCCCGAGGCACGCCAGCTCCTCCACGATAGCCTTGCCGATACCCTGTGTCGAAAATGATTAATCCTTTAATACAGTAACTACACCACAATACCACACACCAGCCAAACGTTGAGCACGGTAGCCTCGGCCTCATCCGAAGCTCTTTCCTTTTTTTGGCCAGGGAGGGTATATCTATCTATCTATGTGGGGGTCGAGGATGATGTTATTGTTCGCGGTGATGAAGCAGTTGAACGAAGGAAAGAAGCAACATTGTTCCTCGTTCTTGACTTGGCGTTGGCATGGGAACCGAGTCGGAAAAACGACAGGTGACCGTCGGCCGTGACCATGGTAGCCAATGGCGTTAGATGAGGATCGGCAAGGCTACGCTTTGCCGGGTAGACGGGGAAGCGTGAACCACACTTATTTCTCCGGTCGTCAAGAAAGTACGGGAGAGAATGACCAAGGGTAGCCCCGATGGGATATTAGTGTGAAAGCGAAGACAGATGTGGTGGAACGTCTTTGTGATGGTCCCGGCATATGTCTGCAGCACGACGAATACCGCAACCAAACGGCAAACCGCAAAAGAAGCCAGAAAACAGGCAGGGCCAGGCGCCAAGATGAGTCATACACGCGCAAGGGCAAAGTGGACTAAGGTCCGCCCAGTCAAACACACGAGGAAAAATGAAGTCGAAATTGAAGTTGAAAAAAAAGCGGTAAATCAAGGCTGTCCGACCAGATAAGGAAACGAAACCTCGTGGACAGTAGTACGTATGTACCAGGTGCTAGTGAAGGACGACGAGGAGAATGAAGGCGCTAAAATATGTCGAGGTCGGGCAATCATAAAACGGACACAAGTCCCACCCGATAAAATGACAATAGTTGAGGAAGTGCTTGGCTCTCTTGTTCGCCCTCTGCTGACATAAGTTGAGGGCGTTGGCGCGCGCAGAGGCGGTTTCGTTCGTACGCATTGCGGAACGACTTGCCCGCACAGCTGCTAGCCCGGCCTGACGCGTACCGCCTCCGAGGAGTAACACGGATTCATCAGGGAGAGGATTGCCGCCGGAGTCCGTTCCGAACGCAAAGAAGTGGGTCGTTGCTGGGGTGGACGCATAATTTTTTCGTGCCGGCAGGGCTTTGTGAGGGGAGCGTTCCTCTTCAAAGCCGGAGTCGACGCGAACAGGAGAAGGATAGCCGCGAAGGCGACAAGCCGGGCGTGCATGATCTCAGCAGCTTGGGTGTTGTGTGTGTGCGACAAGTAGACGGAAAGTGCAGGCGTATGACCTGTACAGCGACGATGGTTGGCAGTCGAATTACGTATCTACAGAAGTCCAAAGTTGGCAGTTGGCAGTCGAATTGCGTACTGCTGTATCTACGCATCTACAGAAGAAGTGCCATGGTTGCCACTTGGCTGCGTGTGTATGCCGTACAAATACATGTATGCATACGCAGTAGTAGGAGGTTGTGTTGTACAACCTCGTGTTTTGTCAGAACGGTTAGAAAGATAAAGGGGGCACCGTAGGTAAGCCGGAATTGATAGGTATGTATGTATAACGAAAAGAAAAGAAAAAGGAAAGAGATGCACCTTGCTCACAACAGAAGAAACATCTGAACGCAAAGGAGCAAGACAACAAGCAAACAAGAGGGGGAGTAGAAGAGAGACAGAGGAAGCAGAAGAAGGAAGCGACTGTAAGGAAGGGAGGAGACAGACAGAGAAAGAGAGCAAGAGCATTGTCGGTTCGTCTTTTTTTTCAACGTCGGCCGACCCGGCGCTTGAGCGCGGGAGCCGGGATCCTGCTGCCGAGCGCGGGGTCCCATGCCGAATACGGTAAGGCTTGGGACGTTGACACCGATGTGGCGCCACGACGAGGAGGAGAAAGAGCAAGGCAGATGGCGGGGCCAAGCAAGGGGAGAGGACGGGGGCTCGCCGCAGAGGGGCGGAGGTGGGAGGAGGAGGTCATTGAGCCAGGATGAGCGACGGGTGACCAGTGTAGAGGGCACGGGGACGTTAAGGATTGAGTCACGTCTATCGCCGTCCGCGTACTCAGGGGGGAGAGCGCGCCACTCAAGACCTAGGCAGACGCGTTCCAATTCCCCAATGGTAGTTAGGTACGACCAGTCTACTTACGTCAGCCGCCGGGGTCCGTCACGTACGCAACATTTCCCGTCTTCACAAGGCCACCACAACGATTCCCGCGCGCAGGGACTTCGTATGGTAGGGGGGCGGGGGGGAGGGGGGGGGAAGGACACGTGGGGGGGGGCGGGATCGATGCGGACGGACCAGCGTACAATGGGCTGCAAGGGGAAGAGATGGGAGCAGGGGGAGTAGGGCGCAGTAGGCCAGGTGGGGAGGTCAGGCAGCCGCAGCACTATCATCAACCAGAACAGCAACAGCAGTAGCAGCAGCCGCAGCAGCACCAGCACCAGCACCAGTCGCAGCAACAACAGCAGATGCCGCAGCAGCAGTAACAGCCCCAGCAGAGACGGCAATACCAGGAACAAT